CCCCCCGGTGCTGCCCCGCTCGCAGGGCGGTGGTACCGCGGCGTTCACGGGGCGGGTCAGTAACCGCCGGCATTGGAGCTGGTAGGGAGACCCGGGCACCGGGGACGACGTGTCCCTACTCCCCCTCCCGTTAGTCTTTTACGGGAATTAAGCAGCAGCAGGCTGACGTGTGCCAAAAGTCGGCAAAAAAGGCAGTAACGCTGATTGCATACGCTACTTAGTGCCCGAGGTTGGTTTTTCTAAAGCCTCCCCCCCAACTGCTGCTGCTCAAACCAGCGGGGAGGGGTCCCCATGGCCCAGTGGGGATGGGGCAGTGAAAACTGGCCTGCTGGGGTAGCGCTGCAGAGGGACAACAGCAATGGGCTCCTTACCTGAGTTTTTGCAAGCCTGGAGTAATTTCCATGCTCCTCAGTGTTGCCGAGTTGAACCAAGAGCCTGGTCTGTGCAGGGAAGGGGCGCAGGGGCAGCGGGGTCCACGCTGCAGCGATGGGAGCAGGATGAGGCAGGGGTCTTGTACTTGAAGTGGCTCTGGGCTGGTAGGGAGCTCTCAGGCATTTTCACTTCAAAAGAGAAATTGTTCCATGGGTTACATCTTTCAAATGTTTAATGACTGTGGTTTTCTAAGGTGTTTTCTCAGATTCTGTTACCCTCCTTCTGTGAGACATTAGGAGATGGGTGCCCAGATCCCAACCTTCCCAGTGTTTTGAGGCTCAGAGCAGACCTGGACTTTGCAGCAGCAGCGCTGCAGGCCTGTGTGACATGGGAGTCCACTTGTTCCTGCATCCCACAGACACTCCTTGAACTCCTGAAGTTCAGTGTGAATTTTATGATTTGCTGGTTATTTCTTGTATTTTCTGAGCAAGCAAAAGGCTCCCATGCTGGGCACAGTTCAAGGTTTCAGTAAGTAAACAGGGTGGGCCGTACATCCCAGTGCCCTGTCTGACGTGATGCAAGGGATGGAAATGGTTCCCAGCCCTGGTCTGTCCATGGGAGGTCATCCTCCTTGGTCTGGCAGCCCTTAGTGACAGAAGACCTTCACACCCACAATCTAAAGACATCTGAAGAGAGTTAAACAGCAGTTAAACTGTCAGGCCAGTGCTTGGCAGCCAAGGGAAGTCTGATGAGGTTGAGCAACAAGGCAGAAACAGGAAGGAAGGGATGCCTATGGGGAAGGAGCTGATGGTAGAGTTTCAGTCTGTGTAAATGTGCCAGAACCAGGACTGCTGGGTGCTCCCTGGAGCTCCCCAGTTCTGCATCTTGGATGGGCAGTCAGAGACACGAGGACTGAAACTCTTTGCTTCAGAGTCTCTTTGGACTATAAAAATGAATGGACTCCAGTGGAAAATGAATGCAAAGCTTTACGAGCTGCCAAGTCTTTGGGATACCATGTCCCACAGTGCTGTTGTACAGAATAACAGTCAACTCCTTAAAGTTTACACTTGCTTTAACATCACCACCTCCTCTAGGAAACAAAGGTAAATCCCCTGAATCTTATCATGGTTGCTCTTAGCGGTTGCTGTAAGCGCTCACCCAACGTCGGGCCATTTTCCCTATGGTCTCTCAGCTCACTTGTGTGATTTTGTAGGGTGCTGAAGATGGAGGGGGCAGGTGGCTCCCCTCCTTGGATCGGCAGCGCTTACCTCTTCCTCCAGTCCACATGCAAGGCTATCGTCCTGCCGTCTCTCTACGAAAGCTCCCAGAAGAAACCCAGTGTGTTCAAGGCGCTGAAGCTGGCATTAGCAGGTACCCATCCTCTCTGATACCTTGGCACGCTGTCTCATCTCTTCATGCAGCGCCATGCTTTGCTTTAATCTCACTCTCACGGGTAAGGAAAGCTGGTGCTCGGTGTGTTCAGGTAAGACAGTAAAGTGGAGCAAGTTCAGCAGAGGTCCACTGAGGTGGTTGAGGGCTGGAGCACTTGCCCTGAGCAGAGGCATAAATAAGGACAAACATTTTCCCGTGAGGAGAGTCAAGCAGTTGTCCAGAGAGACTGTGTATTCTCCATCCTTGGGGGTTTTCAGAACAAGACTGGATAAAACCCTGAGCCACTTGGACTGACCTCAGAGCTGACCCTGCTTTGCATGGGAGGTTGGGCTGGAGACTTCCTGGGCTTCCTTCCAACGTGAACTATCCCATGAGCTGTCCTGCTTTATCAATGTTTGTTTAAACCTATTTAAGGGGGGGAAAGACTGCAATTGCTATGAAAGAAAATATCATTTCTTTGTGCCACCACAGAAACATGGTTTCTGCTTTGGGAAGCCAATTTTTAAAATTACTGATAGCCAGTATAAGTTATTTTCTGGCACAATTAGAGGCGTGATTACATTGGCTTTAGCTGTACATGATCCTATTTACACCAGAAAAAGACTTGAGATGCAAATGGCCATACAACTACGTTTCTCTCTTTAACCTCGCATCAAGCTGACTGCAGAATAGTAATTTGCAGAGTTTATCATATTAACCTAGAATGACTCTCATGGTGTTCCTTACCTGTCATGCAGCTCAGCCTATATTGTTTAACGGGGCTCATGTAACTCTCCTATAATTTCTTCTGGCAATTGCCAGCTAGTTTAGCCAGTACAGACCTGCTCATCTTGCAGCTCCATCCAAAGATGTGAAGCCTAACACAGTGGTCCAGTTAAGCTCGATTTATGGCTACTTTGTGTCACTGGAATATGAATCTGCTCACACATTTCAAGGAAAGCCCACAGACCTGCTAAATCCTACCATGCTCATTCAGGCCTAGAAAGGGCATGAAATGTGAAGGTGTCTGAAGTTGCATGAAGAAATGCACGCAAAGTCCTCTCTTTTGAGGTATCCTTACAGCTGTCTTTTACGCTGTTCATAAAGGTTTCCACGTCTGTACAGCTTTTCCCTCCCCAGCCCTCTTACGCTGTTATGGGAGCTTTTGTTTAACTCTTGGCAAAAAAAAAACAAACAGCATGATGAAAGTCATAAAAAGACATTTCTAATCAGTAGCAGTGAATTCAAAAGCCATTTCTTGGGGCCTAGCTCCATGTCCCAGTAACACACCTGGTCCAAACTAAACTTTCTGATGCAACCAGGACTCTCAACCCTGTAAAGCCACCGTTAGATCTCACACTTTTAAATGCCAGCTCACTTGCCCCAGCTAACGTGGAGCACACGAGTCTGCTTTGCCTTGGGACCCTCCTCCAAGCATGTTTAAATAATGCCACGACATGTGGTTTAGAAATACCTGATGTAGTGTCAGTCTGAGCTGGCACCTCCGTACGCTGTGCAGCCGCAGGCCAAGAGGTTAATTTGGGTCTGGAAGCAGTACAGCCAGCCTCCCACAGGCCTCTGCTGCAAAAAAACCCCACAAAAACACTTGCTTTAAACTGTCATGATCAGCACATAAAGTCCCTGCAGAGACAAGGTCAACGTGCACAGCTAATCAAAATGAAATCTGCTGGGAGAAGGAGGAATGAAGGCCTGACCAATTTCTGTTGTCCACGCCGCTCGTGCTCCCCCTGCACTAATGTTAGGGAGTGCATCCCTGGCTCCTCCTCACTTAGATTTTACTGTGAATTAATTCTCTGTGCAAAAAGAGCTTAACAAGTCAAGGCCTATCTCAAACAGCCTAAATTCCTGTGGCTGGATCTGTCATTCACCATTTTTGAGATGTGTTGAAGGCTCAGAGCCAGCCAAAAGTTACCTTTAGGCATGGGATAGAAAGGAAATGGTGAGTCTTTTTCCAGGACCTTCATCACTGCATAAAACTCCAGTGCTACCTGTTAGCATAACCACTTCTGTCCTGGAAATGGAACCTCAAATGTGAAATCTCCCCTAATAAACAGTGTTGGGATAATTACCTGGGCTTCAGTTGGATACCGTACTTCACGGGGAGCGATGATGGCAGGGCAGCCAAAACTTAATCCTCTCCTCTTGGTTTTACATACAGGTTTTTTGTGCCAGAGGACTTTATCACAGAAGAGAATTCAAAAGCTGCTCCATTGCAGGCTTGGTGGTGGATGGGAGTGGGTCTGGGTTGTCTGTCTCATGCCTGGATAGTGACTCTGCTCACTTCTCCCTGCCAGACTCCACCGGCAGCATGAACGGTGTGGACATGCTCAAAGTGCACTGCAGCCACCCGCACCTCATCGTCCAGCTCAAGTTCTGCAAGCAGGAGAACTGCCGCCGGTTCCTGCAGAGTTACCGGGAAGGAGCGCTCCAGAGGTCTCTGCAGAACAACCTCCAGCTCTCCTTGTCCATGACCACGGTGCCTCTTGAAATGGAGCTGAAGGCTGGCAATGAGCACCTGGACAACATGCTGAAGGATGAGGATCGCTGCCTGGAGTGCATCTACAGAGAAAAGGTGAATGGGAGAGGGAGAGGTGCCAGGCAGCAATGAGAAGGGGTAGGACGGGACTTGGGAAGTTGTATGCAAATCTGGCTCTGCTGCAGCGTGCTGGGTTGTTGACTTCTCCATCCTTCAGTTCTTAACTGTAATATGGAAAACCAGCTTCACCAGAGAAGAGCTGTGCACCTAAAACAGCCTACAGAAATTCTACTAACTCACTGTGGTTTCTGTGTATAACAGCATGGCTGTTACCACTACTAAGATGAGGAACCATAGAAGGTGCAGTTGAGAGCAGAAGCCAGCGTGCCTTGATACACCTGTGAGGCAGCAGAGAGCAGCAGCCATGTCTGGAACCATCACTGCTCAGCACCTTCCTCCCCCATCTCACATACCACCTCCTCTGAGGGTAGCAATGGTAACCACACCTAGAAATGAGTGTGAGTGCAAACACTCTGTGCATTATAAATAGCTGGTGACAGGGTGGGGACACACAGCATCTGCTGCCAGCAGGAGCAGGCTGCCCTTCTGAAGGCAAAGTCTCTCTTAGGGGTGATATCGAACGTCTAGCTCATCACACACTGGCAATAGCACTTTAATCCTGGTAGCGAGAACAGTGTCATCTCACCACAAAACCAAGGCACTCGACATGATTACACTCATTGCCTTTCTCCTCTCCCACTTTTTTTTTTCCACCTGCAACTAGCAATGCTCTGCAGCTCTTGTTCTCTCTAGATGGTCCTGAGAAATAGGTAGTCACCGTCTACTTGGGAAGATTAGGAACAAGAGCATGGTTGCTTTTCTGCAAACACAGATAATGAAGTGCAGACCTTTCAGCCCTGGACCAAACATGTGATATCCCATACCCTGCCAGCTCTGCTTGCAGCTCCTTCCCTCTGCCGAAGTAGCTGACTGGATAAAAGAGGTGGGCTTATTCTCAGTTCCCCAAAACCGACTCAGTCTGACCTCTGCCCAGCAGTGCAACAGTCAGAAAGGTGACACTGTGGCACAGCCATCACTGGCTGTGATGGGGGGCAGGGATGGGTACCAGAGAGGATCCAGGAACAACAAAACTTAGGTAATGGAGGGGCAGACAGAGAGAAGTGGGGTAGCGGGAGCTGCCTCCTTTGGTGGCCATGAGCTGTTGGAGCAGGTCACCCTATCCCATGGCTCTGACCCTCATGTGGGGTAAGTCAGAGAAGCCACTCTGCCTGTGGTGCACCCTGATTCTTGCAGAGGGCTGCTGAAAATAAACACAGACTCGTAGCATTTTTGTGCAACTTGTAAGCACTCTCTGCTGCATGCGAGAAACCCAGGAGGGGGAGATTGCCTATTTTATATCACATTACAGATTCAAATTCACACATTTACAGCCAGAACACATTTGATCAGTTTACAGTTCAGGCTATAGCTCTCTCATTGCTCCTCTCTTGACACCATCATCTCAAGCTAAGCATCTGCAGCTTTGAAATGGTGACCCTGGCACAGATCACTGACGCCGTTTGCCTTACAGCCTGACCGCCTGCGGGACGAGGAAATCACAGAGCTGGAGGAAGGCCTCAGGAGCCTGATTGTTCACCAGAGCATCAACGATCCGCCTGACAAAGACGGCGCACCTATGAACCCTCCATCTCTACCTTCCCCTTCTCAAGGCAGCTCCCTTTCCTCACAAGTCACCTTCATCTTTCAGGGACAACGGTTTGGTGAGTAGCTAGAACTGACGCCACTGAGGTGTCTTCCTCGCCTCAAAGCCCAAACAGAAGGGCTAACTTGACTACATATTGGGGTCTACCTCAGATAAATCAAGGATTTTCCAGCATCCCATAAGGAAGGAATTACAGTAGTCCTAAGGTATTACCATACTGCTTCAGATCAGGCCTCAACCTGTTTTCTTTTCCGGCATGGCACAGAACCAGGTGCTTCAGAGGCTGTGTACCTTCCAGGTTCCTCCCATTTTAAGACTTCTTAATGCTGCAAGGAAGAACACAGAGTAGTTATCTTTTTTCCGCATCATTTTGGTTGAGGTGAGTTAATAGCTTAGGTTGGACCAGACTGGGAAGGTTACTATGGCCACCATCAGCCTTGCTCATCCAGGGTCCCTGCAGTGCACCCGCTGTCCCTGGGGGCTGTCCCCTGCAGAGAGCTCTCAGAGAGTCTCACGTAGCAATTTTAGCTTGAGATCAGCTAGATCATTTCTAAGTGTTCTTAAGCTGTGTATACAGTCTCCAGTGCTAACCAGCCAAGGAGAGAGCTCTTGACTGCATTTCAGTCTTTTGAGGATGCTTAGAGGAGGGAACAGAGGACTTGGGTCAGAAAAGCCTTGCCAAATTGCTTCTGAAAGGCTGAAAGAGATAAAGAGCATGTCCCATCAGGGAAAAAAAATAAGCTCCGGAAAACCACGGGTTGTCAGCAAGACAGAGAGCTCAGATGTGCCAAGGCAGAGGGCTGTGAGCAGGTCAGTGTGACACCACGTGCCACACTGCCACCCAAGGCAGCAGCACTGCCCTGGGGGATGACAGACTGTGCAGAGAGCAGGCAGGTCCAGCTCTTGCACAGAGAGCAGGGACACCCAAAGCAGTGAGGTTTACTCCAGCTGATTCTCCCCTCCCAGTGGTGCAGGAACGCTGTCAGAGCGTGCACACCCACGCACATGGCCCTTTCACTTTATCGCTCTTGCACTTCTGCTCCAAACTCAGTGCTGCCCTGGTGGTAAAACACCAGAGGGCAAGCAGAGCAGCTCCGCAGCACTTTAATAACGTGCTGGGGACACTGAACAGGCTCCCTGCTCCACAGAACGTTGAGCAAACCTCGGACTGGCCCAAGCTGCATCACATCAGCCGTGAAAGCTCTCTGTTTTACCTGCTCTCTGTCCCCTTTCAGCCAACAGACTGCTCACACGAGACGACCACCAGAAGTTTGCCAAGCTCGTGTCCAAGAAATGGAAGCAAGTGGGTCGCTCTTTGCAGAAGAGCTGCCGGGCCCTGCGTGATCCTGTCATTGATAACCTGGCCCTCGAATATGACCGAGAAGGACTCTATGAACAAGCCTATCAGCTGCTTCTCAGATTTATCGAGTCAGAGGGGAAGAATGCCACAATAGCACGGCTGATCGCAGCCCTGGAAGAAAATGGTCTCATCAGCTTGTCTGAAGAGCTCTTGGGCCTCCGTTTCACTGAGAACTTCTCCTAGAGCCCAAAGGGTAGCAGCGTTGCTAAGGGCTTTCTTGCTTTAGCTAGTGTATGAAACTGCTGTCAGTGTCTGGGAATGTAAAGTCCTGAAAATCACCGCAGGTGTCCATGTAGATAGGAATGCCCGGGGAGCAGCTCTGTGTTCACAGAAGCCAGCACGGACCTCTGATGTTCCTTATTTCATCCTGTTTCCAGAGGTCGACGTTACTTTACCATGAACTGGTGAGAGCGGCTTTCAGCCTGACTTCCTTCAGGTCTGAAATGTCACCGGGAAGCAGCTGGACAGTCAGAGAGCCCTAGAGGAGGGTGGGGAGAGGAGGAAAGCAAGGAGCAGCTCAGAGGATTTCTGTGGGAAGCAGACAGTGCCACTGCTTCTCAGGAGGTGGCCCAGGGCCATCACCTGGAGAGCTGCAATATATTTTTATTATATTGAAGATGTTTATGCCCTTAGGCATGACTTCAAGCAAAGACAGAGGGGAAATTAAGGAAAAGTCAATTTTATATTACTTTCCTTCTTTGTTCTTCAAACAAGGGACATCTGTGGCAAATGCATGTCCTGCCCTACCCTAGCATAGCTCCTTCCCACCTCTCGCCACCTGAAGGTTTCCCTTTTACCTGGGACAGTCTTAATCTTCCATGGAGCACAAGATTGCAACTGCAGAACACATTTCAGGCACTCAACAAGCAATATGGAGAAAGAGAAGTTCAGACAATGATTCCCAACTGCTGCCATGGTGGACAGTAACGTATTGACTGCATCTCGCTTCGCCCTTTGCACCAACCTGAGGGAGCCTGCGTCTGCAGAAGGCAGAACACAGCACTGGAAGGAAAATAAAGAGTGTCCCAGGCAGCAAGTAACCTGTGGTCACCTGTAAGGTGTCACAGCACCAGATACCACCCTGACCCCAGCCTGCAGAGCTGAGCCATCGCCTCTGCCTGCTGGTGCCTTCGCTCCCGGCTGAGTCCACCAGGGAGGACAGCTCACGCTGTCGTGTCTCACCAGCCTCAGGATTTCACAGAATCACAGAGCGTTAGGGATTGGAAGGGACCTCCAAAGCTCATCCAGTCCAATCCCCCTGCCGGAGCAGGAACACCCAGATGAGGTTGCACAGGAAGGCGTCCAGGCGGGTTTTGAATGTCTGCAGAGAAGGAGACTCCACAACCTCTCTGGGCAGCCTGGGCCAGGGCTCTGTCACCCTCACTGAGAAGAAGTTTCTTCTCAAATTTCAGTGGAACCTCCTGATTTGCACTGAGCCTTTCCCTGGTGGCATCGTCACTGTGTGACACTTGGGCATCAGCTGCTGTGCCTGGATTTACCTGTCCTGATTTTGAAGGTTAAAAATGGCTTGAAGGACGAAGCACCCAAACCCCAGGGCTGACTTGTGCTTCAGTTCTGGTGGGAGAAGCTGACTGTCTCCTGGTACAGCTGATGCACACTGCAACAGAGCAGAGTTTACACCTTTGCCCGTAACAAAGCAACAAGTTCCTAGCATGGCATGGGTCCTGTGAAGCACAACAGCAGCTTGATTACCACCTCTGACATACTCCCTGTATTTTCCTGATAGGTTTTTACTTACTGTTTTCCATTAATTCTATGCCCCTTCCCATCCATGGCAATAGCCAGTGGGCTATTTTTTTTTAAGTCCTAAGGTTACATACACAACATGGAAAGATCAGAGATGGGGAGAATATTTTCAAGGTGTGAATCTGTCTCTGTCTTCCCCATAGCTTCAAAGGAAGCAGGACTTCATGCAGGCACCTTCTCTACAAAGACTGTGGCCCCATGGCATTTTATTAAGCCATTTGATGTCAGTGCTGTTGCAGCCTCATCTCCCCCGTTCCCGCTCCATGTCCTACCCTCTCCCTTACAGTAATACCAGTGCTCTTCCCAAAAGGAAGCAGTTATCCCTCTGACAGTTTTGCTTTTGGGACTAGCACAGCAATGCTGATGTTAGTTAGTTTAGGCTGGTGTGGAACCAGACCTCAAAGTATTTCGCTTTCCTGCCAGATCCCAACTGGGGAACTCTGTTTGGCAGCAACCCACCTGGCAAATGGTATTGAAAAGACATAATAGAAACTTGAAAATTACTTTAACAGCAAGAGGGCTAGCTCTTGATTTTGCAAAAAGGATGTTTTAGAAGACAAAACCGTAAGCATAGCCTGCTGTCTTGTTTGTGTTGAGTATTCCTAAGCTCTCAGACTAGCTATTCATGTGCATTCAACTTTCACAGACATTTATAAGGCAGCCACTGAGTAGCGAGAGCTGCTGGCTTTTATAGCATCTGTTAATGCTCAGAATGAGAAAGCCTTATTATTCAGCATCTACTTCAAGTCCAAAAAATTTTGCTGCTATTACAGTATTACAGAGGACTAAACGTGAATGCTTTTTTTTTCCTTAATGCAAACCTTGTGCATTTTATTCCTCTGCCAGCAATCGGCGTATGTGTTTCCTTTTACTCACAGACTCCCTCTCAAAAGTGCCATGAAGTGCTGGAGCTCCTGGCAACCTTTCTGGAACATCATCATCATCATCATCATCAACAGCATTCACAGGTGCCTTCAGTGCAGAGACTTGAAGGAACAGGGTTTTCCAGTGCTACTCCATGGTGGAGCTGTCTTGAGCACATGGCGTGGTTTAGGACCGTAGCAGTGGCTGTTTCGTACCTGTTTTTCTGTGATCAGTCAGCAGCAGCAGCAGCAGCCAGACATTGGATGCAATGAAAGATTCAGGTCTCAAGCAGATTCCTTCCTGCTAAAAGAATATTTTTAGGGTTGTTTTTTTTTAGCATTATCTGGCAAAAGCACAGATAGAGGCAATTTTCACAGAAGCCTTTGAATGAAAGAGATCAATTGGATCACGAGTACACGGTGTCATTTACATGGATTTGGCATTTGGCTGGGGCCTGACTCTGAATTTAGCTCTGTTTTACCCTGATGGTTTTACAGCAGTTTTACACCGGTGCGCGAAGAGAAGGGATCTCACGTCACGTTGGGAAAGAAGCAGCACCCGCAAAGGAAAAAAACATAGCAGAGATTTGCTGAAGAAATTCGAAGCGTGTCTTTACCTCAGATAGTAATGCAATGAGGGGAACTGAAAGAAGAACCCAATGTTGGGGATGTTTGCTGATACACCAGAAATTCGGAGCTCTATGCCAGACCAAGGGCTATAATAAGCACTCCCGTGACTGCCTGGCTGTCGTGCTCTGGGATGAGGAGCACTGCATTCCCCATCATGCTTTATTCCTTGCCTGTGCAAAGTTAGTTGCACACACACTGCACCTACTCAGATACCAGACATGCAAGCAACGCTCCCTTACTATTTATACCAATTAGCTCATGTCTCATGTGTGAGATAAGCCATGGCAGTGGTGAATTTGGCCTTATCCTGTAACAGCTCTTCTCTATGTATTGAGATACGCCTTAAAAAATACCAAACAAAAAACCCCCCACCAAAACCATGATATTAAAAGCAAATAAGGATGCTAATCAGTTGCATATTAAAAAAATTATAATAGACAAAGTATAAAACCAACAGCAGAAATCAGGCCAAAACACGCTTACACAAAGGGATCCAAGAGGGCTTTTTTGTGGTAGAGGTTGTTTTTGTAGTTTTTAGCGCTGTTTCAGATTTGAAGGAGGCTCCTTTCAGTCTGCCAGAAAGAATAAAAGATGTGTCCAAAGGAGAATTTAAACGCTTTGTTTTGGCATAGCTGAGCTGCGGTGTTTGAACGGAGAGTAACAAAGAGGAGAGGGAAAGTTAACATGCTCACCAGATGCAGTTTGACGTGAGGCAGAAGTAAACTAGAGAGCATATCCCGATACAAAACGGTCATGAAGGAAAATGCCAAGCTGCCCTGGAGGGCAGAGCCAGTGCGAGGCCGACGTTAACCCTCTTAGGTGCTCGTTAAAAATACACCACGGATTAATTCGTCTGCTGAAGACGACGATCACCACCACAGCAGATGGGGAGGGCGCTCTCTTCCAGCAGCGTCAGCTCTCCCATGCCACAGCTGCTTGCAGTGGGCCAGTTTGTCGGGTGAAAACAGCACTTGACTCAAAAAGAAGGAAAGGGTTCAGCTTAAAAATCACAAGCCGGGCCTTAAAGAAATCAATATTTCCTTCCAGATTTTCTAAGCAAGTAAAATTGAAAATAAATGTCAATTAACAGCTTGCTCCCCAGTTTTCCATTTTCAGCTTCGACCCTGCTGCTGAAGAGGAGGATGTCTGGGTTATTTTTAATGCAAAAAATGGGGTGCTGGTGTCACAGCACTGCAGGGTACAGAGCTTTCTGAAAAAAACACGAGCCTTCAAGTGAAACAGTTTGCTGGAGTTTCATAGCTGGGAAGTCTCAGACCTGTATCCATTTCAAAATCTGGGGGAAGCTGAGGCAGAAAACGGAATATATGTGTCTAAATTGCAGGGTTTTCCTTACCTGTTAATTTGGACGTTCATTTCAAAAGCCACTTCAGCACTGAGAAGCCATCCTGCTGCCTGGGTCACCGCGTTGCCTCCCCACTTGGGTTTCCAAAGGTACCTCACAGCCACCTCCGAGACACCCTGGCAGCTGCCCACGGACCTTGAAAGCAGAAGAGAGCACGTAGCAGCACTGAGAAGCCTCGAATTCACTTCAAACTGCTGATTCAGCTTAACTGAAAAATCTGGTATAGCTGTAAACCTCTGGGATCGCACATGTTCAACCAAGGAGGTGCTAGAATAGGAGTCGAGAGGGATTCATCAGCCTAGCCCATGTATTGGAGTGTGTACGTGAAATTGGTGAGATGCACTGCTTTGCACCAGACCGGGGTCTGGCCGTTTGTCTTTTGTACTCAAGTGGTGAGGCAATTCAAGGCCTAGAGTCAAAAATTGTATTTTTTTCTTCTCTGAATTCAGTTTTAAAGTCACTGAGGGGATCTGGCCGTACGTCTTGCACTGAAATCTATAGATGTGTGGTTAAGTCCCTTAGTCATCAGTGGAAAAAATCCCTTGCTGACCTTCTAACTC